GTCAACCAGATTAGCGCAGTTTCGGGTACGGGCCGACAAACAAAGCGTGGGTGTCTAGGGGGTAAACTGTTTTCGAATTCTACTGTAGTAGACCTTAAGTGATCATATATCGGACCCGCCCAATTGTTTGGCTTGGCACCGTGTGGCCTCTCCAAGATCCAAGACTCAGCGTGAGTTAAGTCATTGTAAAATACCACAACCCTCAAGAGAATATTCTCGGTGGGGTTCTAAAATAGGTGTGGGGGGAATTAGATTAAGGTTTGAGTTCCTAGCATGAGGTGTAATGCATATATACAGTATGTAGAACCTGTATGAGTCTAACAGTACTCTTGCAATAGAAGTAAAAGGGTCGTGATACTCCACTAGGAACGAAGTTCAATGGAGATGAATAGAACTATTGCTAGTCCTCTATGATTGAGCTAAGTACGGGTAGAAAGTGAATAGGCTTGTAAAAGGGCGTAGAAGGTAAGCAAGGGTATTGTAGCTGTGTGAAAACGGCTTTATGTCCGTTCTGTGCCTCCCACCATAGTGGCGTCCGTCTATCACCGTCTCTATTGTCGGGGGAAACACGATAGTCTCTCAGCAAGAGCTCAGTCACTTTGTGAGACCGTGCTTCTGACGAATATGATAAAGGTATTCTGTTTGCAGTATCCTCCGAGTTCGGGAAACTTCCCCCATGGAACAAATTTCTTACGACGTCGATCTGCGAGAGATGGGGAGCACAAATCTCAATCTGGGGCATGATGTTTAAGAAAATGCTGATCGGTCAACTTGCCGTCGAATCCTGAACGGATCACATATCCGTTTCTATATTTCTCTATTATATGCTATAAATCTTGGTAGGCCGCAACAGCTTTTGTTCGTCGTAGTGGAATGTTCACTCGGCTTGTTGAATCCTCTGGCGCAGCCTTGAAAGAATAAAAGAGAATTTTTAGTGGGGTTAAACAATATGTCCGCTAGCTCTAGACTCTACAGCCTTAATCAAGAAAGTTTGAAGCTAACTCTCGATTATCCCATGTCCTATCAATTTCTGGACTTTAGATCATTTATTGGGGGCATACAGAAGCTTTATTTCCAACGTTCACCAATCGCAATCTCAGCACTCCAATGCTATGCACAACTTTTATCTCGCACACTGGTCGGACGGCTGATTGACCTACATTTGGGTCCATTCAGAAGTAGCGCACCTTTGTGTGAGGATGTGCGGGAGGTTTGGAAAGCCTACAAAACTGAACTCCAGAGAAGGGGGAATGTTACTGAAGAAGCTAAACGGCTTATGAGCTTGTAACAGGAATATATAAGATGTTGAGCAGGCACAAGACTTAAAATCCGTCCCTATACTGGCTTGCTTAATGGGGTCTACATGATACATCGCCCCGATGAAATGAATGAAAACGAAGGTAGGTAGGTGACTCCTCCTGTTTTCCTTGATCGATCCAGTTCTCCGCCAATCAGACGGAGTATTATTTACTGTTGTCTTATCGGCTAAAATGAAGTAAGTCAAGGAAGCAGCATATTATATTTATTTTAGGCAAATTAAGTTGCGCAGGGAAGCTTTGAATACCAAATCCACTTTCAATGAAAGAGGACAGTTCTTATTCTTTTCATGCCTTCGAACCGCTCATGATTGCCCTTTGAAGCAAGGAAAGCTTACCGAAAATCGGCTTATGTTGTAAGAAATAGGTAGAAAGCCCTGTTTCTTTTGCCATGGATCAAAGAAAACAAAATTTTCTCACTGAATGACGATCAATTGGATTCTTGCTGGTATTTTAAAAGAGATAAAGATGAGCATAGCTGCTTCACGAGGCAAGGCAGGGGATATCCGCTTGAAGATGATGAAAAGTACTCTTCCCAAGGCGACAAAAAAGAATCATGTCATTTTCCCTAAGCTACGCAGGAGTATGGCGAATAATTGCACTAAATTTCATCACTCACCATTTCGGCATCAGAGCTCCGATCGAGAGTCAAATCTCAACGAGAAGCTCTTTGGTATGTTATTTTGCTGCTTGGATTGATTTCAAGCTAATCACTTCTCCTGGCAAAGAGGCTACGCTGCAGTTGATTGATACAACTCGGTGCTCTTTCAAATCCTCATTCATCCGCATAAACGACGGAAGACAATCTCGTGATACGATTTTTAAACGGCAATTCATCTCGAATATCCTTAAATGTTCCCATACCAGCCAAAACACGTTGACACTAGCATTGTACTATCTCTTAAAAATTCAGCCTAACGTGCAAGGAGAGGTTTTCAGTTCTAAAAGAGCATCGCCATTGCAGCTGATGGAGGATAGCCTCCGTATATTCTTGGCTGCCCTCATGCTGGCAAATAAATACTTAGAGGACCATTGTATTTCTGTATTCGGCTGGAGCCAGTTATCGGGCTTTCAAATATCCGAAATCAACAAGGTTGAGATGATTTGCTTGCAGGCATTGGACTGGCGTTTGCACATCAGTGTCGAGGATTTTGAACAGTGGGGAACTTCATTACTCGGGGTGGATAATTGATACTTTTTGGTTTCTTTCCGAGTAGTTCGCGGATTCTTTGACCCATCCTGTAGCAGCAGAATGCCCTTCAAGGCTGATTACCGATTCTCGGCTTTTTGATTTCACAAAACCATTACCCATGTTGCTCACGAACAGCATGATACAAATAAAACTAGACTGGCCTAACGCAGAGATACATATACATGATATTACATTCATCAAATATGCTACTTCAGCTGCCGCTTGACATACTATTCATCGTTTTTGATTTTGTAAGCTTCCTCTGAAACCTTTTAATACGAGTCAGTTACCCAAAAATGACGAATATGTGTTGCGAATAGGCTGTTCATTAATTTTGGGTCAATCGTCCCATATGGGTTAAATGAGAAAAGGATTCCATACAAGAGAATACTACAGATTCTGGATCGTTGGTCGGTTCACATCCAAAAACTATGGCCGGGGTCCTGGGGTAAGACAACAGAACAAAGCGAACTGGAGTTCAAAAAAGCCGGGCCCAAGATATTCAATTCAAAATCCCAGTACCACTCTTATTATATTTCTCTCGGGGTGCCATACGTCTTATCTGTAGTACGCTCTTATTTCAAGCCACATAGGTCTATGCATGTCCCAAGAGGGGTATCTCGTTGAATACAACTTTAGCAGGAACGGAGATAGATCTGTATAGGTGGGAGGCTGTTTCCCCAACCAGAAAACCCTCATTACATCATGTAGTGATAACGTCGGGCTCGGGAGAATCTCGAGAAGTGGCTCCGGGTCCTGCGGGATAACGATAAAGTGGCCGCGCAGAGCACGGTAAGATGCCGGAGATGCATGTCCACCGGGGCGTAGCTTCAAGATAATGCCGAGGGGGTGGCACCTAGCAATAAGACACTCCTCGACTGGGGTGAGACTTTCAAGAACTGCCGGGTAATTCTGACACATTGTCATGTTCACACGGTTCAAAGCGGAAAGCTTCGGAAGGGAATTCTGAGATAGAGACTTGAGGCAAGTTAAACACACATCCTACTCGTTCTCATGCCTACCGCAGCTGTCAAGATGGCCGGCCATTGGTTGAAGTAAAGGGTCAGCGTCTTCTATTTCCACTAGCTCCGGAACAGGCACTAACCTCCCACAGGATGAGCACACACCCTGCTGCGAGGCATCGTCTATAAGAAGCTGAAATCGGGTAATGGAAGCTCGTATTTGAGTCTTAGATAGTACAGGTCGAAAATCCGCAGAGGCTGACTCTCTCGATTCAAGATCATCACGCAATAATTTCAAAGCTTGATTGGTGATGTGAACGGAATCAACCTCAGTATCTGCCATATGCCTTTTGGAATGTGGAAGGGTTTGAGAGGGTGCCTGCCTCTTCGCTGGGGTAGTGGATTGAACCGAGCACCTCCTTAGTGGTGATTCGACCTGCCGGGTCCGACGGTGTGAAGGCATCACCACTCCGAGTTCGCTTCCGGTTCTCGTTCAGCAGGCTTGCCGTGTCACTGGTCGTTCGAGCTTGGGGGTCGTCCCCTGCGGCGCTGGCGATGGTTTCTTGGGTGTTTGTGGGATGGGGCTCGGGCCCTCCCGTAAGTGGGTCCGCCATCGATCTAGGGCTAGTTCCCGCTCGGTGCACAACGTCGCAGTTTTATATCGCAGTGGATCGATAGATGAGCGCCTACAGTGGAATTCCGATAGATGTGCTGCTACAGTGTTATTCGAAATCAGTTTATCTCTCCGTTTGTTTCCCTAGCCCCACTTCGAAGGCACTAGACCATATTAGGAGGTAAATCCACTGCCTTGCGTTTGTCCAAGTATCTTCAATGAGTGACTATAAATTACAGAAAGTTTCCATAGAATCTGATATATTATGCTAGTCAATGGGACAAGGGACATTGTCAATTCATTCGTCGCTTCTTAGATCTTCCCCACTGTACGTGGTATCTTTTAGATCGGCTAGAACTTCTCCCCCCAATGAACCCTGTTGAGGCATGTCAACCTCGCTCATTCCTAATGCCATTGTTTCTTCAGAGTCGGAATCGCCCACCACGCTGTAATTGTAGTTGCTTTAACTGCCAAGGAAGATCATTAAGCCTTAATTTCGCTCTATCTGCAATGATGTGTCAGTCTCGATCAAGTAGATTCAATCTAATTCAAATTTGTCCCAAATACATAGTGGACTTACCATCAGACTTCTTCCTGTACTTATGTTCTGAAACTTTTTTGTTCCTCAGAAACACATCCGAGCTTGATGAAAATGTCCCGTTGGTCTTATTTCTCAGGTTCCATATATCCCCACATGTCTATTTGGTGTTCCGTTCGAAGTATTTCATTTGATCAAGCTACGTTTAACCTGCTGAGGTATGTATATCAAAATTTCTCTGCAGCATATTTCCGACCTAACTAACGCTCTAGATACCTTTCAGAGAGCTCCGGACACTGGTATCAATACGGTAAATTTCAAATTGCTTCAGCCATTTACATTTGACATATCGTCCGATGAATGGTTAGCCTTTTCTATTTCAAACCGTCCCGGCCACTAGAGTACTTGTAGGACATGGGGCTTGTAATCCCTGCAGCAGGCGTGTTAATCCAGCTGACTGCAACTGGTCGGCAGAGGCCTCGGCGGGCAGAGTGCCGACATAAGCATTGAAGTTGTAGATTCCACAGGGACATGTGTGGACAATATCCCGCAAACTAGTACCGCATAGAGAATCGACCGTCATTCCTTCACGGGTAACCTTGAATCTCTGCGCACCCACACCCATCGGCACAGAATGCGACCACACTCCGGCCTTTGCCTCATAAGCTTCCGTCTTACGGCCAGACTGCACATGCACCATCGCTGGCGTCTTCAGCAAAGTTACTATGAACACCGCGTCGGTCATGTCATCAGCGCCATCGGGTCGAGCACGGACGAAGTCGCCACTCCTACTATTCGGGTTTCCTTGCATTGATGTGTCAGTTGCATCACAGTTGACATCCTTTGGGGTCGGTCGGTACCAGTAGATTAGCTTTTCTTCGTCGAGGAACTCCAGCGGCAGCTTTGAGCCAGCTTTATAAGCTGAGATGAAAGGCTTGGCCATATCGAGCCAACCGTTATGTGGCCTGCTTATGGGTTATTCACCATCCCCACCTTGGATTCTTGGGGTCTCTGCTTACATGCCTATGACCCATTTGGAGGAACCGTCGTCGATGTGAGGCGATGAAAGCGGACCAATGTAGTGTGATTCACCGTAATCATTCCAAGAGATGAGCTCCACGAAGCGGGGGCTGGTTTCCAGGGTCTCCCTCCATCGTTTATACCAGAGGAGGCCCGAGGGGAACACCCAATTTTTGGCGAGAGAGACTTCGCCACCGAAATGTGTCGAAAACCAAGGTGATACCGCTAATTGTACATCAGTATCAGAAGAACAGCTTGTTCGACCCACTCACATGCAACATAGGGCTTTCCCTTAAGTACCGCCTTGTAAGAATTATCACCATCCGCAACAGTGTAAGGTGTCCGGCATTTATTGTTTCCATTATTGTCCCAAGCGATCCAGCTCAGAGCGGCCTGAACATTATCAAAATCTCCCCGACCGGGATGGAAATTCGGTGCAAAATAGATATCGCTGCGTGCAGCCGACCTGATTGCGTCGATATCAACACCATCACCGGCAAAAGAAGACGTAAATACCTTCCCATCAACCTTGAGCTGGCCGGGAAGATTGGCATACTGTGCGATCTTTGCACCGACTGCACTGCCCTGACTAATCTGCCACCAATTGAAGTCGAAGGAGATGAACACTTTCATGCCATTGTTGGAGGCAGATTCGTAGGCAAAGTCCAGCTGTGTGTCTGTGTAAGAATCGGTGCCGATGTTCAAGGCAAAAGCGTCGATGCCTGCATATTTGGCACGCTTCATATCATCGTCATAGTCACTGGCATCTAGGCGGTTGCTAACGATGCCAACCTAAGCACCGTTATTACTGAATTTGGAGTCAATAGAGGATACCGGCGTTTCATACCATAAAATGACAGAAGACAAGTCTGTTTCCATGGTTTTCTTCAGAAGTGTACTCAATTGGGAGTGAGGACGCCATAATAAGGGGTATGTACCCCGTCAGGGCCACAATGAGCTTGGAGAACATGAAATTAAGCATGCTCTCCAGGTTTAATAGGCAGTCCCAAGAAAAGCGCCCAGCCAATATAAGACAAACAAGCCTGTTACAACGGAGGTCGACTCTACCTCACCTGAGGAGCAACTGAATACTATTTTGAAAAGAGAACACAACTTCTATTCAACGAAAACGGTTGCGTAGATAAAACAGCAATGGGATTTTTGTGTCTCCTGCTCTGCGTGTCATCTAAGAAATGATTCATGGCAAAAAGGAGAGATTCGCCTTCGCCTATTTGCTGGGTCAGCATTGAGTTGAACTGTTGAAAAGTCTGCTAAGCAGGGTATTATCTCTAAGCTCTGATTTACGATACAGTAGAATTCGAAAACACTCTACCAATGTACCCTTGCTGAGTCTGCCTGAAATACAGTAACGTCAAAGCGAAATCCATATGTACCGTGGCGACCGTTATCACGTTCCATGTCGGAGAACGGAAAGAAGCTTTTCAAACCCCTATATCGGCAGGATCATACAGTAATGGATTTACCATACGCTGGTATAAAAATATTGGACTGTACCGCTACACAGAATTGCCCCAGTTGGAGTTTCGATGATCCGGGATGATCTCTAGCTCCGGACTACCTGCCCTGTCTTGCGTACGGGCAATGGGTAAATTCAAGTACTTATCAATTATGTAAGGCAGTTTTCTCGTTATTCTATATTACCTTTTCTAAACTTGTGTAAAGCGATTTTCGAAAACAGTTTACCCCTGAAGACACAGTTTTTAACCACTTTTATCAAAATCTCACCTTCCAATCTATTTCGAGTCGTTACAATCCGCCTGAGAATTCCGAAGCTGAGATAAGGAGAATGCGGTACTTGCGCTCGCTGGGAATAATTATGACAAACGCTTTCCAGCAAATGAACTCGTTCCATAGAGCTTGATCCGGAACTATCTCCCATATCTCCGGTCTCAATCCACATCAATATCAGAAGTTGGTGGTTCGTACGGTTGCTGGAAAGCGTTCGTGATAAGCTTACTTCGCGGGACTGGAAATAGTAAGGTTTGTTGAGAAAACCTTGATTTACTCTTCGCCAAAGCTCTATGCCCTACGGTTTCATTAGGGACATACCTTATTTATCGCCACAAGAGATTTATATTAAGATGTAACATGAATTGCTCCAAAAACTCGTGCGTTGATTTATTTCTAGAGGTGGAGTAATGTTACAGAAATATCAGTTTAATTCCCCGTTCGGTATTACCATCACATGTGTTGAACAGCCCTTGTAAGCTGTGATCGAAAATCAACGCACTGAGCAATCGCGCACACTCCGTGTCATCTTTGCCCATAGCTTGCTTTTCTTATGACTTGGAAAAAGGCAGTAGTCTTTCTTCATATGCTGGTTCAAAAGTGTAATCCTGCAACCGTGTTTGATGTCCCTACCCTTGCAGGCGGGACCATTCCACCCACCAAACACATATGGACGCGGTTGTTTGTAGTCAGGATCCCATTTTACGATATCGGATGACCGAAGTTCCTTTATCGCCGGATTATTGTAGTAACAGTATTCCGAGTAGACTCCTTGCTTTGTGTTCGTAAAAACTTTTTCCAAAGGTAGCTCTACCGTATCAAGAGATTTAATAACCTCGTAGATGTTTAGGGTAATGCCAGAAGAGAAGTCAACCTCGTATTTATTTTCGTCATATTTCCAGCCATCCTGAAGAGCGGCAAAGAACCTTTCACTTTCATATCTGAGATCACCTGAGTAATCACCTGCGAGAAGAGCAAGATAGAGACGATTTGACGATTTCCTAGGGCGATAGGCGCTCAAATGGCCAATGAGAACTGGAGAACATCCATCAAATGCCAGGGCAAACTTCAGCCAACTAGTATCTTTGAAGATCTGTTTCCAGATGGTAGAAGTGGTATTTATGATGTTTTCGACATCTGCTGGTGTCAGAAGGTCCTTGATACTTAACCAAATATCAATTGGAGTTTCAAAGAGTTTCATTGTGAATGACTGGTACTGGTGCTGTTGTCGGTCCAGATCTTACCAGGGAAATTATTTATACTTCGCAGGGCTATTTCTGAAATGACTTGATCTTACAAAATAACAAGCAAGGGTCCCGCATTCTTGCCAGGCCCTCCGAAATGCACCTATACCTGTGGTTATAGAGCTGGTCAATATCAGAATATATGCTCCGGATTTCTCTGGAAGTTGCGGTAGCCTAATGCCCTCCCTGCCCATGCGACCCGCGCTTATTTGCACCCTAGCTCAAGTAGATATTTTCTATGGGCGAAAGATATACTGTCGGTGTTCAGTGATTCATGTTCAACGTTGATTTGAACGTATCACTTGACGCTGATGCGAGTCGGCTTCCATCTTGCGACCAGGCAATCGAGTAGACTGAACCGCTATACCCCTCGATAATTGACGCGCACTGGCCCGTGGCCGGATCCCAGATCCTGGCGGTGTTATCTCTTGACGCTGATGCGAGTCGGCTTCCATCTTGCGACCAGGCAATCGACATGACCGAATCGCTATGCCCCTCGAGGGTTGAAGACATGGACTCCAATCTTTGTCCACTAATAGCTCATTCAAAACCCAATCTGGTCTCTCCCTTTGATAACACCTTCTCGTGAGGCTCGGCATGGGGCTAAATATCAGAGGTGAACTGTATACTTGAAGGGGGCAACTTTCAATCGCTAGCCTATGGTATCGAATGAATCGGGACGCGTCTTGAACTTGGTGTAAAAGGGCAGCTGGTTCGCCATTTTCCTATTACAGTAGTTCTAATGTCAGAAGTGGAGATTGGTTTTGGTATATGAGCAATTACTCACCTGAAGTAAGCCCTCGAGCTTGAGCATAGCTGCTATGCCTTGTGATATGCTTCATAGAATGCTTAGGGCTTCAAGCCAGTGAAGGTACTTCTTTTGTAGAAATTCATCAACACGCCCTCTTTCATCAATGTCAAGATTTTTGTTTTCATAACATCCGCTATCATAAAGATGGTCAACCTAATAGACACACGCATATTGTGCAGCTGCTAATGGATTCGGATTGGGTGATATGACTTTCTCAATCGGGAATCCAGGAGATTAAAGTTGAAAGATGTCTCGCTGAAGTGTCTTGAACATAGCTTTAAGAGAACGAGACAAAATTGTCTGGTGTTCAGCTTCTATACCTCTAGGAAAAACCTCAGTTTGCGTCTCTCTGAGTAGAAATTCCTTTGCGGACTGATGGACGAAAATGATAGTGTCTTCGCGTACAGTCAAAAACGAGCCACAAATCGCGATAATCTCTGATAGAGCTTCAGAGTCACTAGAGAGATCATCAGGTAGCTCAACAAGAGAGGCCAGCTCGTCAAACGCGATAGGCCGATACACTATGGACATGACAGCTAGTATTCGCTTGTAGGACTCAGCATCTTCGGATTTGCGAACCTGATCGATCATCCGACCGTATAAGGCATTCAGTCTAGGAGGAAACGCCTCCGGTTTCCTAAGAGCGTGCCTCCGCGATATTCTATCAAGATCTTGACAGACTAAGGCCACCCAAAAGAAAGTTCCTTGCGAGTTGGATGACAAGTGACGGCAGACCGTATCACGAGTTTCATCGCTATACTTCTTCACTTTCGCCAGGTAGTGAACCTTGTGTTGAATGAATTCGCTCACAGCTTCAGATACAGACGCCTCATTAAGCTCTAAAGAGATCGGAGCGGTATGGGTAGTGTTAAGAAGCTCTTCGATATCACGCCAGTTGCGGCTCGAGACAATCCACTTGATCTGTGGGTACGCAGACGATACCTGAGTAATCAAGTCGAGAAGGGAAGGTAATCCTATTGCACATTCGTCTAGCGCATCGATAGTCAAATAGGTGCTTTGTAGGGCCGGGTCTTTCAGAATATCCATAAAGATCCTCGAGAGGGCATTCCATGCGTTTATGTCCTCGAACAGTGCTTTTCCCGCTTTATCATACTGTTTTTGTACATGGGAGAGAAGAGTGCTTCTCGACAAGCGAATATATCAGGCCACGGAAAACAGCCGTGGCATTATTGATTCGTACGTCTGTAGCTTGGCAAAAAAAGAACGAGACATTCGCAGTGTCACCAAATGTTCGTGTTAATTCATCGATGATACCGCACAGCAGCATTGTCTTGCCTTTGCCCGGATCACCTCTGATCCAGAGGAGGCAGTTGTTCTGGTTGTCTCGCCATTGTTGAAACTCCTCGTTGTCGAGAACCCAGCAGTATGAATCTTTGAGCAGCCCTCCGTTGGTGTTCTGAATACGTCTTTGTCATGGTGAGGATCAGTCGTCCGCAGATCCCGCAGGCACGCTTGATTCAATGCTTCCGATTGTACTTGAGCAGTCACACCGGTTAGGTATGTTCTTTTAGAGTCATGCGCCCCACTCACAGAACTGATTAGTGATATGACCAAGGTTCTGTCCAACTTGGAACCCAGAGTTTGACCCGTCATATGATGTCTTGTATGCCATTATTGCAGCCAGGTGATTCTTAGAAGGGTTAGTCGCGAGCACATGGCTAAGTCGTCGAAGTACCCCGCTGAGGGGTATCGAGATATAGGGTATCAATCGTATGATTATTTCCAATATATGAAACAGTACCTCATCATGTGATTTGAAGTTACAATACGTTTCGATACTCTGAAATGGCCTAAGCCGAACACAGACTAGCGTGTTTCAGGATAAAGTTTGGGAAAGAAACGAAGAGAGTTAATCGTGCCAAGCGCCCAACACACATTCTCTGTGTTGGTGCGCCCCACTCAACGATAATTCCCACACAACGATAATTTTAATGGGATGAATTGCATTTAAACCACTATTTACATATAACCACCAGTAGTATCTATATACCAATTTGCACCATTACTATCTCTTGCCGCCATTGAAGCTTCATGCTCAGCTTCTACTAAATCCCTTGCTTCCTGAGCTCGCCGTTGAGCTTCCAATTCCTTGGCATGCTTTGCCTGTATGCGCTTCAACTTCTTAGAATCAGCATCTCTCCTGTCAACCATCTTCCTATTTGCACATATAGGTGATAGGACATTGCCTTTAGTCCCAAGAAGCGATTTCCCATTTCTTGGGGTATTTGCAATTGAACTGGACGTACGGGCCTTCTTTAATTCAGCCCGTAGTATAGCATTTTCGTGGGATAAAAGTGAAGTTGCATCCATACTTCGTTGGATATGCCGTTTCACCCTCTGAAAGTAGTTTTCCATTTGCTTAACGTCATCAATAAGCTTAGCATTAAGCCTATTAACCCGCTCAATTGTATCTGGCGGCGAATTGGTGACTGAGCTTGCGAATTCCGGAGGGGGAGAGGGAGTGAGAATCCTAAGGGGGGACCCTTCAGATTCAAGAGCTCTTTGACGTAGAGGACCGAGAATAAGCTCTGGATCTAGGGGGTAAATACCCCTAGATTTAAATGAAGATCGGATGATTCTTTGGGTGAAAGCTTGCTCTCGGACACCCTGAATTATCCTAAAAAAATCCCGCTTCTTGCTTGCACTTCCACCCCACATTATAGCTTCATTATTCGCTATACGAAAATGATGCTTTAAGCATTGGAATGGCTGGCCATCTAGCGGTTGGCAGAGATGGGTTGTATGGGGTAAAAAAAAGACTGGGATAATGAAATGCTGGTTGCAAAATTCAATAAAATTGATCGTTGTATGGGATCCATGATTATCCATTAAAAGCAGCCTTGGCCTGCCTTTTTTAACCAGAGATTTTGTAGCTTCATGAAAAGAACAAAGCCATTCAAAAGCCGTATTATCATCAATCCAGCCATTAGGCGTAGGCTTAATCCGGAAATCGGGGGTAGTGATATTTTCATACCACTCCTCCATATGCAAAGAGCCCTTAGGTAGAAACCAAGGTAGCATAACCCAACCATCGGCAGATATACATTCAATGCCAGTAATAGACTCTTTTTGACCACCAGTAGGATTGGTATAATTAGCATTAGGTGCAAGCACCTTTTGCCGCTTTCCTTGGCCAATTTGGTAGCCGGTTTCATCCCAATTAAAGATCTCATGGGGTAGAAATTGATGCTTTTCAAAGAGCGTACGAAGGCTGTTAAACCAAAGTAACATTGGGCCGTATTGCTCGCTATCAAGCCTCACTTTTTCAGCCATTTTTGGGTTGATATAGGGTATCTCAGGGGGTAGTCTTTGCATATAGCGGTATACCCAGTTAGGGCCCACCACCTGATCGCTGCCAGCCCGGCGTAGAATTGAATTTGCAGCCTTTTCAATGAGAGAGGGGGATATACCCATATTGCTAATATGTAGGGTATCGATCCAGGTTTTCAATGCTCTCTCCTGAATTGGGTTTAATGTCTTTTTTAGGCTGGCAGCAGTGGTTTTACTTCCGCGCCCGTGAATACGGGCGCGAAGCCTTTGGTATGGAACGCTGAATTCCCGCGCCAACTGGGCGATATTGGTGTTATTATTCAGATGAAAGGCATTGGTAGCTCTTAAAATTTGATCTTCGAGATTTTCAATTTGTTCCGACATCGTGGTATGGTATAAAATGCTAACAAAATTGATGCCAAAGTGGAAAATTATCGTTGTGTGGGAATTATCGTTGAGTGGGGCGCACCAACACAGAGAATGTGTGTTGGGCGCTTGGCACGATTAAGTGGTGAAACTGATTTCGAGCGCGTCTGTATACGAATTGTCTCGCATAGAATTATGGTGATTCCAAATTAGATTGTCTCCTTCGAAATTCAATCTCTGCGTTGTGGTGTAATGTATGACGGTCGCGAACTGCAGTTCGACCATCGTGGTGGTTTAGAATCCAACTGCAAACCGATATACAGGCTACAGCAGCTACATATATTCGTGTATGTATATGTACGATGTCCCACTTCCTGAAAACGAACTTGAGGCTCGTCAAGACCTATCGTGGCATAGTTGCCGTTCACGTTGTTAGGATGCCCTAATAGCGCGCGACTTCGAAAACGCTGTGACGCCTCAGTGAAACCTAGAACGGCCTTGACCATTCTAGCCCGCGACACGGTGTCTGGTTCACTTTTCTTCCCTTCGGTTGACCCTCCCAGCAGACTCGACACGCTGTTAAACGCGCACCAGCTTCATTTCTCAACACCCTTTAAATTTCCCTTGAATTTGGGTAGTTCACTAGCATGTGGGTGACGGTCTCCTGTGCGCCGCACACGCAATGGCCATTGTCGTGGAAGCGGAACCTCTTGGCATAGGCGAATAAATAACTATGGCTCGTGCGTAGCTGTGTTAGTAGATACGCCTGCCCCTTGGGCAAATTCCCATACAGCTTCCTGGTGTAGGCCGCCGGTAGAGTATTTTCGATTCTTCACAGGTAACCACCTTCGGTGGACGCATTCTATTCCCGCCTCCACTGAGCGCGGATATTGTCGCGGATAAGCCCTCTTCCTTGTCAACACAGGGTGTGTTCTTCCCGGGCTTGTCGCGTCCTTGGCTAGCCAATCTACTCCGTCGTTTCCTGTGTTGTTGCAGTGTCCAGGTATCCATTGAAGACGAAGCGCGACCCCCTTTGCTTGAACCTCTACTGCAGTTTATAGGATCGCGTGGACGATGCGTTGTCCTGATCTGTTTACTGGGTTCTGCATTGCTTGTAATTATGCTCTGTTCTTGGCCGCTGATGGCTGGATACACATCTATGATTTACATTTAAAACGATGCTCGTGCTCCAATCAGCGTTAAATTTCTTATTTACTCCTCCAATGGCACGTTATTCCGTGCGTCTAAGGGCTTCGGCTGTCTTCCAGGTCTCTGCGTGGTCACCCAACGTACTGTGTAGGGTGGTTTGGCAATCCGTAAGAGGCATACCACATCCTCGTAACCCAATAAACAAACCGAACCTCAGACGCTTTGTGTAGAGACTGGTCTCATGTTCTTGCGATGTTCCAATCCAAGCGGCCATTTGAACAGGATACTGCGAGGTGGCGTCGACAGGAGGCCAGATCTGATGAAAGTGACGAGCAAGATTGTCGAGCTGAGTAGACGTGAGAAGGTAGAAAGCTAGGATGGTAGCAGGGAAGTCTGGATGTTGCTGGCCGAGACCGCTTGAAACTAATGGATCAAGGGGCATCTTGAGATGTTTAAGGTGGCTATGGAAGTTCCGATGAGAACTTTTGGGGGTCGCTTCTTCCGGCAAGCTGTTTTGTCGCATTTTTGCTCGTGAGAGTTTCCTTTCGGGCTCACTAGCTAGCCAGTGTCGCCACACTACTATAGTCCTAAGTGCGTGTAAACGACACCGAAGTCTCCCCGTAGATAGTGAAGACGGGACAAGTCCTGGTCTGCCTTCAAATGCAGAATGAAAGTGGCACTCAGAGGCGCCCTGGACAGAGAGAGATGAAGAATCGTAGTAAACCTGATAATAATGATCAGTGGCTGAAGTATTGATGTGAATACGAATATAAATCAATAACGGGATTCATTTAAATGCTAGTACACAAAATATAATTACGAGAAATAGTGTAATTAAAATGCTCAAAAATATAGATTCAAATAGCATAAACAATGCAAGTCACGAGGTCTACAAATTTTGCTTACTGAAAAGGCCTATGGGCAACGTCGCAGTCTAAGCGTACCTAGAGACTCCTATCAGTACGGTGGTTGGACGTTAACTAGGTTGCCTCGAGCAGCATTGAACCCCTGCTCGTTCGGTGGTTGGATTTGACTAGGATACCTACAGTAGCGGGGAATCCCTGTTAGTTTGACGGATCTAGTGGCAACATCTTAAGATAGATCTCTGATTCAGGGGGTAAGCAGCTCACATCTCGTTGAAGCCATAGGAGCTAGTTGAATCTACCCCGTTGGCGCTGTTGGTGTGACCGATATCTTCGTTGGATATGTACCAGCTAATTAGCCAACATCAGTTCAAGGCTACGAATAGAATCATATCGAACAGTGTCTCCGTGTTAGTTGTGTGGTTGGGCTTGACCAGTGTGCCTCCAGGAGCAGGGGCCCCCTGTCGTTTCGGTGGTTAGGCCTTGCCCGGGGTACCTTTAGCGGCATGGATGTCGAGTCGAAGTCTACGAATGGAATCATATCGAGCGGGTCCTCCTATTTGTTCAGTGGTTGACTCTTGATCCTGTGGCCCAATATGCAGCAACAGAGATACATAGGATTTAAATAGAGAGTTACATCAACCACGGTTTATTTGTTCGTCCAGCCTGGTTGAGTCAGTAATCATGCCAAGCGCCCAACTACATTCTCTGTGTTGGTGCGCCCCACTCAACGATAATTCCCACACAACGATAATTTTCCACTTTGGCATAAACTTTGTTAGCATTTTATACCATACCACGATGTCGGAACAAATTGAAAATCTCGAAGATCAAATTTTAAGAGCTGCTAATGCCTTTCATCTGAATAAAAACACCAATATCGCCCAGTTGGCGCGGGAATTCAGCGTTCCATACCAAAGGCTTCGCGCCCGTATTCATGGGCGCGGAAGTAAAACCACTGCTGCCAGATTAAACCTACGCTTAATGGCTTGATTGATGATAATACGGCATTTGAATGGCTTTGTTCTTTCCATGAAGCTACAAAATCTCTGGTTAAAAAAGGCAGGCCAAGGCTGCTTTTAATGGATAATCATAGATCCCACATAACGATCAATTTCATCGAATTTTGCAACCAGCAATGCAGATACAATTGATTAGTGCTAAGCTTATTCATGACATTGAGCAAATTGAAAACCACTCTCAGAGAATAAAACGGCATATCCAACGAAGTATGGATGCAAATTCACTCTTTCCCAAGAAAACTACGGGCTGAATTAAAGAAGGCCCGTACGTCCAGTTCAATTGCAAATAACCCAAGAAATGGGAAATCGCTTCTTGGGACTAAAGGCAATGTCCTATCACCTATATCTGCAAATAGGAAGATGGTTGACAGGAGAGATGCTGATTCTAAGAAGTTGAAGCGCATACAGGCAAAGCATGCCAAGGAATTGGAAGCTCAACGGCGAGCTCAGGAAGCAAGGGATTTAGGAAGCTGAGCATGAAGCTTCAATGGCGGCAAGAGATAGTAAGGGTGCAAATTGGTATATAGATACTACCGGTGGTTATATGTAAATAGTGGTTTAAATGCAATTCATCCCATTGAAATTATCGTTGTGTGGGAATTATCGTTGAGTGGGGCGCACCACACAGAGAATGTGTGTTGGGCGCTCAGCATGATTAACGAATCCAAGCGTATTGGGGGGAGCTTCAGCCATTTGTGAAGATAAAGAGCGAAGTAAAATTGCAATAATCACGTCGCAGAGCAGCTCGTAGGAGAACATGTAGCACAGACTCCTGCCTGGAGACTGCTTTTATGTATTTCCCAAGATCACGTGGAGCGGGGTATAAGCAATGCGCCATACGAAAGCGAATCGCAAGACAGGTTCATTCAAGCCTCCTGTGCGACCTAAGAATTGTTGGGTTGAAGTGTACTGTAGCCTAGGATATTGCTAAATTATGGTACAAAAAAAAGTCTTATCTGGCCCTTGCTTGCAGTATTCTTCTGCTCAAAGAATTTTGAAGCTCCTGGGAGTCTAAGGAACTTTGTTTTAGATACTGAGTCTAGGGTGGATATTTTGTGGATCCAAGATTAACATTTGTCGGAATTGTACCCTTCATTTAGATTTTGGGGACGAGTTGCAATACCTCGTGTAGACCGCAGTCGCTTGACCTTACCCTTTTCGTAACAATTGCTGCCAAGATTGATAAAAGTGATAATGGCCACCGAGCCAGAATGATTGGTCGGATTATGTTTGCACTTTTTATAAATGGTTGCAAACCAATGGTCCAAATTAGGTCTAGAAGCCGTTGAGGCCATACGAGTGAAATGCTGACACTAATTTTTAGGCGATTATCTACGCTTATATTGAAATACCGCCAAGACACGGGGTCAAGGGTAGAGTAACTGTAATAGGTCTAGTAGGTTTCAAAGGAGGGTTGGAGAAATAATCTCTGTGTGTAAATGGTGAAACTGATTTCGATCCTCCCTGTACCAAATGATCCTGTAACCATTTGGTCGACATCCTGTATCTCCAGAAGACCCGTTGAGGAATCTACGGTGTGATTAAGGTTATTGTGATATAAATTTGTGGTGTTGTGAACCGAGCGGAAGCTTATCCCTAACCGATGGCGGACCCACCCGCGGGAGGGCCCGAGACCCCTCCCACAAACACCCAAGAAACCACCGCCAGCCTCACTGAGGAAGATCCCAAAGCCAGAACCGCCACCGAGAACCGGAAGCGAACCCGGAGTGGAGATGCCTTCGCCCCGTCGGATCCAAACGGTCGAATCACCACCAAAGAGGTGTGGAAACTGATCAGCACGCTGAAAGACATCATCCGCCACCAAACAGCGACCATCACAACCACCCAAAATGAACTCCAGGAGATCAAACACAACCAGAATGTCCTCCAGGAACAGAACGAGAAATTGCACGATGAGGTGAAAGCACTGCGGGCACCAATCGAGGCCACCCCACCGGTGACAGCGAACAGGACCTTGGCCACCGTCACAGCTGAGGGCGGCAATGGCACCTCCCCGCTCAACCCCCAACGAACCGAGAAAGACTAGGATTGCGTCCGAATCAGCACCCAGAGGACCTTTGTCGACCCAAGAGACAACAATAATAATTACGGAAATACTTTCGGACGATATCTCCCTATCGATGCGGCCAACAAACACATTCGCACTGCATTGCAGAGCGATGCCACGACGCAAGACGCCCAAGTGGCCGGCATCGGCACCACTAAAACTGGCTACATCATTCGATTCAAAAACGCGGAGTCAGCTGAGATGGCCCGCAACAACGCCGAGTGGCTTCATAAGTTGGGCAATAACACAAAGCTGGTAAAACCGCGATTTGGAGTCGTTGTACACCGGACTCCGACAGAGGAATTCGATCTAGAGACGGGACACATCCAGGCAGCAGAGAAAATCATCGACGACAACGGCCTAGCGGAGCACGGCTTCCAGATCGACGAGCTGGCCTGGATGAAAGCGAAGGACAAGCCGTTAGGGAAATTCGCCTCACTAGGAATATGGTTCGACTCCCCAGAGGGAGCGGAGCATATGCTTCGGAAGCGAATCAACTTGGAGCTTAGAAAGGTTGGCGCTATACACGGACCCATCGAGCCCGTGGGTGGTCGAGGTGCGTCGGGCGTTATCGCATTCGGGTCATGTGATTATTGGCATAAAGGGCCACCGATGACTTGAGACCGACCATACACGACGTCGGCGGATAAAGCGTATTTTAGCACTAGACCATAATACAGTAAAAACCAAGGTTCCTGTTTAGGGCCTTGCGGGGCCATATCTGTCTTAGTTCTTGTTTGACAAACGACGGAGAACCGTCCAGGGTTTCTTGAAACGGGGGTACGAGCAGGATAGCCATTGGAAATGTATAAGGTCCGTAGCATAATGAATCCTCGACGTAACTGATGCCATAAAAATCAGTCGCTCGGGGAGCCGGATGACCGCCGCCGTCAGATCCGGGGGATTCTATAGCCACTTGCTCCGCTTCTATATCTTTATTAACCCAAAGCATGCTTCGAATCGCCCATCTGCCTTCCCTCCAGGTGGAAGGAACCATCTTCGTTCACTTGTGATGTCCCATCGGGGTTGTTAAGAGCCTGCCGTGAATTCTCCTCGCTTGGGGTTCTTGGATTGCTAACGCTGCTGCGTCTCGAGTTTGTTCGTCATTCATCAAGCTGTCATGCACCGCGCCCTGTTTTCTTACGTTCAGTTGGATGATACGGAAGGTTTTACTCATGACGTGACGGATAGAGCTTCCAGCAGTTCTTGCTATACGATTCATGCGGGCCTCCACACGGAACGCATTTTGAAACCGTTTGGTTGCAGTCACTGTGGCGATGGCCCTCCGCAGCGCATCTTGCAGACTTCTGGACGTTCTTGCACTGGAATGCCTTATGTCCAATCTCCTGACAATTGTAACATTGCATCGGTCGTGGGCGATATTCAAAGGTGCTAGTCACGCCGGATTCTCCCCCGGCGTGGAAGAACCCGTCGGCCAGGAGCCTCCGTGCATCAGTGCCTCTGGTTATGTAAACAACCATCGACCCGTAGGCCTTTGCGCTTTCCTTTCTGCTGAGCCACGCAATCTTAGCAACGGTGACTTCGTTCTCCTCGCTGAAGGCCGCTGTGGCTCCAGCTCGGATCTCATCTTTTTCGTCCAAAACTACAGCCTTGTTGACGCTATCGACTTTGATCGGGTACAGCTCGTCATGTACCACCCGGGCTTCTTCACTGATCTTCGCTTCTGCCACTTTCTTGACCAGCTGGTATATTCGAGGGGATGGGGCACGCGACTATTTCCTACCATTCCCATTGATCAAGCAGAAGACCAAGGAGGCAAGACAGAACAAAGCCGCTAGCCACGTAATGATGACCATTTGTCGGCCAATTGTGAATTGGAAACCAATTGCAGTTGAAATGATATTCAAAGCTTCAGCAAGAGACACATAGATCCCTGTAGCTAACCCAGATGCAGCCATGCTTGCTACTGCGGCGATCTGTATAAATGTCAGACCTGCATGGGAAGCGGCTGGAGGATTATGACTTACTCCTGCGATAATATTTATTACTAGACCCCCCCCTGTGGAGGACTGAACTGTTAAGCCGAAGATTATTCCGACAGAAGACATCACACTACTTGAGATAAAAGCGATTATATAGGCTGATTTCATCCCTTTCGACGCTATACGATAGACGTGTTCCGCTCTTTGAACCTCGGGCGGATGTAACCTTTCCGCCCATGGGCCTTGAAGTCCGAACACGTCCGTAAAATTGAACCAAAACCCAATGTCTGGTTTAGTACAGCGTGTGATCTCCCTGCTCAATGTACCGGATTTCCCTTCACAATATCCCCAGAGACCAATCACATAAAAATCCGCTAGATTTGACTTCAACTTTAAGAGGTCTTTGGTAACACTACTTTCGTTTTGTCCATCGTGACTTGTTGTGTCAGAATAAGAAAAGCCTACAATCTGATCATTTATTCTTTTCCGTGGGATTACAGGTCTATTACCCGCCAATGTCAAAGATACCTCATTTACCAGTGATTCTCCACTCATAGCTTTTCCTACAACTTTCTCTACTTCAGCTGAGAACCCGGTCAGATTTGCCTAGTCATTGTAAGCATTCACCTCTGAGCTTGAGTGTAGATGTTGACCTTTATGAAGAATAAGCTACTCTGGGAATTTTGTTGCCCTGTACAGCCGATCCCAATAAATACTAACAGGATGGATGACGTTATGACAAAAATATAAGGCAGGAAAGAAATAAAATGACTGTTGAAACTTGCCATTATGGTTCCTTGGGAACTACCTCTGTGAGAGATTCCAGGTTTCAGTATTGAAGAGCTGCGAGAGTAACCTTTTATACAAGAATGTACGGTGGCTTTCAATCCCAGTCTAAATATGCGTAGAAACTTCAACGAAGACTTTCTTTTCTTTCCTATCGACTCTTTTCTATTTTCTTTTCTGCTTTCTTTTATTTTTCTCTTATTTTCCATTTCAATATTGAGCCAAAATTGCCAACCTAATTGAAACAACATCTCCCAATTACGAGAGCGTTATGCAAACAACAAGACCAAATGATAGTTCAAACCAAATATACCGATTTGGTTTCATCTTCCACCGCAAGGTCACACATAGTGTCCCGGTCATTATGAAGATACCCCAGAAATATGTACCTAACAAGTAGAAATATTCCACCACTTCCTGAGGATGGATCATGAGAATCCCGAAAGCCGTTCGTATTCAATTCTCGTTCTTCCTAATAGGCTGCCCTCCTGGAGAGCGGTTTCGAAACCGATACGATACCTCCGCGAAGTCTAACACGGTGTTGCCTCACAAGATAGTATTTAACTACCCCCACTATCTTCGCAACCCCTCCTAAGCTGGAAACGCCTGTTCAACAACCTTGTCACCTACATACTTCTGCGACGCTTACCTTAACCAAAATCTAGGCGTAGGATCAATTGCCCTCATAAGTTTCCCACCCTCGGATATGCATAGAACAAAAAGTATATATATTTGTTCTAAAGCATGCTTTCAAGCTAGAGGAAGTTCGGGTCCGCAGATTAACACCCCCCAGATGAAATTAACAGTTACCATATTAGATGTACGCCTTTGTTTCCACTCGTCGGCCATTGTGAATAACCTGTATCAAGAAATTAGCGGGGTTCCTTTTTGTCTGTGGGATGAAAGTCAAATGATTACTGTGTAATAAAAAAGAGAGGGATTGCTCATAACTATGTTTGTTTTACCGTTATCATGCGTAGTTATCATCTCTATTGATGACTATAAGTAGCTTTGCTTTCCCTGAAAGCCCATCGTTCGAAATTCAGACCGGTTGCCACAGTACAAAATGCACCTGCCAACTTATCTCTTTATAGCTGCCTTAAGTTCCAGTCTTGTCCTTGGACAAAAGTTTACGTTTGCTCAGACTGCAAATAAACAATTCATAATCAAAGCCGATGGTGTTCATGGCTGCAGCGGCGAAACTAATTCGTTTGGCAAGTATATAATTTTTTTTAAGCCAAAGATATCATAATGACATAATAGCTCAGGTTGGCCATCCAGGAGCTTTTCCATTCAGAAGGATCTCTGCACCTCCGCATGGATGATTCTTAGTTATGATGACCAGTCAAAAATGGGAACTGTTTATTGGGCGAATTCTGGAGGAGACGTGGCAAAGTGCTCTCTTAATATGAAGAATACTGGGACTTCTTGCGATGTGGAGAACATAAGCATGTCATCTGCAAAATCAACGTCGGCAAAATCAACGTCGGCAGAATCAACGTCGGCAGAATCAACGTCGGCAGAATCAACGTCGGCAGAATCAACGTCGGCAGAATCAACGTCGGCAGAATCAACGTCGGCAGAATCAACGTCGGCAGAATCAACGTCGGTGTCATTGAAAATCATAACGACATTTTCTACAGTCTCAACAGGTATCAGAACGTCTGTGACACCTACAGGTTGTGCAAAATAGTGGGCCTTGAGGACAAGTGTTTCACTGTATTGAACGACAGGCGCTCAAATCTGCAAGATAGGAAAATACAGTTGGAAGTAGATCCCCTGGGACAGTATAAACACCGATGTTTGGAAAGATAGCTATTGGATTTATCCATCTACTTATCAGGTTTCTAGATCAAGGACGTGTTTTTTTTCACGTTAATTGAAGCTTAGATAGTTAATACACCATGCTTTTATATTCTTTCATTCGTGGGTTTTGTGAAGCTTCTCGTAAGCTATTTGATAGAGACGTCCCTATGCAACGATTTACAACACTAATATTTTCACAGTAACTGCCGCTGATATCTGAGAACAACGTAATCCCAGCGCCTATTTATACAAAGGCAGAATTCTTAGCTTGACGGGGATCGATCATATAGTAGCCCCATTTATTCCTATTTTCCCTTTGTTGCTGAAGATTTTGATGTATGGGCTATATTGCAAATACAGTGTGACAGACGGAGGGATTATTTCATTTGACCTGGCCCCTCGCTTTTGGCGATATCTATCGCTGTTGTGATACAATGTTAGCGCCGTACAGGAGCCAAGTCGCTTTGAATGAAATAAGTTATAACTACTGTCAAAGAATTTTCGGGAAAAGCTGGTACTGACCGATATGCTTTTGTCGGATGTTGACGAGAAGCGTTGGTTGAGGAGCTCCTCTAAATCCTAGGATAGCAACCGCGGCCCTTTGGAGCCAACCATTTCAAGGCCAGTGCAATTCCCCACTGCGTAGCATATTGTGTAACTTACTATGTCTATCTGCGACTATTTGGTTCTCAGGCAAAGAGAGATCCAACTACAACATGTATATACTGGAAGGTAAACCCTCTTGGCACAGTTACCTAACCTGTTTGGGTTGAGTTCCTCTTGGAAGTTAGTTTTGAATAGAAGTGCTGTTTTTCCCAGCCAACAATGTCCCCTGTGATCTAGATTACTCTACGTAAGAAGCAATACAGGGCCCACTGATAGGGATACTCCGGAATAATTCCCAAAATGGACTAGTCTATTTTGGCAATTAGGTTTGAGAAAGAATCGAAGAGTGTAAGTGGTGACACCAGCTTCGGGAAGTACTGTAAGGAGCTGCCCTCGGCGGACTACGACATCTGCGCCCGGAGCAGATGCGACAGCTCTACCAGACCTGTATCACGCCGGTAATAGACTACGCATCGAGAGTCTGGCACGATCCACTCCGAGACAAGACCCACCTGCGACACCTGAACACGGTGCAGAGGACGTCGCTGATCCGTATCCTTTCAGCATTCAGAACCGTAGCAACCTCCGCATTAGAAGTTGCAGCTTATATTCTTCCAACGCACCTCCGGCTCCGGCACCGCGCTCAGAGCACCATCGCAAGAATGCACACCCTTCCACGCGATCATCCCATATGGAGTGCACTTCTACGAGCCTAGAAACGTAGGAACAATGTCGGGTCATACTCTTGGTTTCCCCTCGCGGAGGCCCTGAAGAATATGGATCTAGACCGGTTAGCGGAACTGGAGACGATTGACCCAAAACCACTCCCACCATGGCGATGTGAACCATTTAGCGAGATTGAGATCGGATCGGATCGAGAGAAGGCAAGAGAACGGGCTGAGGCCGTACGGTCTAGGACCGACGTCGTCGTCTACTCAGATGCTTCCGGACGCCAGGGGCACCTAGGCGCCGGTGTCGCCGCGATGAACGACAACCTAAAAGTTATTGAATCTCAACAGACCCAAGTGGGATCGATGGACCAGTGGTCAGTCCACGTGGCCGAGTTGATCGGTATTTTCTATGCCATCAGCTTAGTGCAAAAGCTCGTACATCAACGACTAAGAATCCCAAACCCCGGCAACAAATCCGGACAAACAATCATTCACGCTATATTACACGCGGCGACCGAGGTCCAAGCGAAGGGCATTGCTCTCCGTCTCCAATGGATACCTGGACACTGTGACAACCCAGGGAACGAAGCGGCAGATCGGCTGGCCAAAGATGCGGCAAGCCCAGGCAAAACGCATCCCTTCCGCCCTCTGCTCACAAGGGCGAAAGCGCTCATCCGCGAAAACATCCAAGCTCGGTGGGAACAGGAATGCAAATCCTCCACCAAAGGCGGTCATCTGTGGAAGATCGATAGAAATCTGCCAGCTACCTACACCAGAAGGCTTTATGGGTCTTTGCCGAGGAACAGAGCGTATCTGTTGACACAGCTACGCACGGGCCATAACTGGTTTGCTTACATACGCCAAGGCCCACCGGTTCCACGACGACGACCCCTGCGCATGCGGCGCACAAGAAACAGTCACTCATGTCTTGGTGGACTGTCCAATGCTGAAGGAATTAAGAAGAGAATTAAGGGGAAAAGTCGGGGACGCGTTTAACAACGTGTCGTGTCTGCTGGGAGGCTCAAGTGAAGGTGAGAGGTAAACCAGACAGCGTGTCGCGAGCTAGGACAGTCGAGGCCGTCCTAGACTTCGCCGAGGCGTCACGGCGGTTTCAAAGTCGTGCGCCACGAGGGCAGCCTAACAACGTGAACGGCAATTAGGCCACGGCAGGCCTTGACGAGGCTCTAAGTTCGTTTTCAGGAAGTGGTACAACATACATGTTCGTACATGGATATATATAGTTGCTGTAGCCTGCATATCGCTTTGCGAGTTGAAACCTGGATTGAGGTAGAAGTGTGATAATTGATCTATATGAAGAGATCCAGCTATTTGTAGTTGAAGCAGCTCATCTCCCTGCTGCCTAGCGGAGTGTCTGCCTGTTAGGCAGACACTCCTATAGATCTATACACATCACGTGACCTGGGATCCAACTTTGCGAGGGGTCAGGGTGACTGGTGACGCGCGCTGCGCACGCTGTGGCCCTGAAACGATGAAATGGAAGGGCAGGGACGAGAAAATCCGGAAAATGGGAGGTTTTGTTGTGACTGATATTTGATAATGCAAAAGAGCGTCGACCAATGAGAAGACATGTAGTATGACTAATAGCCGCAACACCTTAAAAAACAGAATAACCAAGAATGTGCTAACTAGGCTTTGACAGAACCCACAAAACCCAGAACCCAACCCAACCCAACCCACAAATGGTTTGGGTCTTGGGTCCAATTTCATAACCCACAATGGGTCGTGGGTTAGGTTTCTCAACCCACAAAACCCATTGGGGCCCCAATTGGGTCGGCAAACGATGCAAACATGAAAAATTCAAAATTACTAAAATTACACTATGTTTGGAGTGTGAAATCATACCTAAAATGAAGGTAAATCTAGTTTTTATTAAAAGTTTTATATCAGAACTAGAGTTAAATATTAGTTTGTTTATTAAAACCTTCGAAATAAGTAGATTCTAGAGTCGAGAATAAATTACGTGGTCTACACAAACAGTGGTGTTGCTTGTCTGTCCGTGAATATATATCTTCATAAACAAACTATATTTCTGCCCAACTTCCAAACAAAAGGGGGGGGGGGGGGGGGCTTTTTGAATAGACATATAAGTTTAATGAACCTTTCGTTCGCTATTTTCAATATTTTCATTACAGTGCCGACCGCTTTCGCCTTCCATGTCGAGCAACACATAGAAGCTCTTTCAAACCCTAATCACATGCTACGCTAGTCCATCTTCGGTTGGTCTTGTATTTTAGGATCCGTCATAAAGGCGAATCGTATAGCCTAAAACAAATAGAATACATACCAGTGTTTCACCGTATGTAATTTTACAGACCTAAACATACCAAGCCCATGACCAAATAAGCCAAACTTAGTCCTAGCCTAGTCCATCCCACGGCTTTCTTCAACGCCATCCATGTGACATTATGCCATTGGAGGGAAGCTTGTAGTTGAGATAGCATTGAATTATAGTATAGCTGAATTACAGTCATTCTCGAAATTGCCTTGACCAGTACACACTGAGATTATCTTTCTCGGCCCCACCACTAAAACCTTAGTGCCAGTCAACATTCTGAGAGCTGTCTCTATCATGACGAATGATAAACTGATCACCGAAAGAAGTACCTGGCTATTACATCGGGTAGAGTGATGCTGAATTTAAGCCTTGCCGCCTATTTATCTCAAAGGCCAGGAATAGAGTTAAACAATGCCGGGGAGGACAGCGCGAGCGCAAGAGATATTGAATTAAGATCGTTATTTAAAGAAGCAATTGGCAGTATTCCTCGTCTCCTTCCCTAGCCCCGCCCGGTGATACATCTGCTCCGCCTGGTCCAGCTTGCCTTGCTCCCGATATAGAATTCCGAGATTGTTGACAGACTCGAGAGTCGACGTATGGTCCGCTCCGAGTGCTTTCTCGCGTCCGGCTAGCGCCCTCTGGTGCATCTGCTCCGCCTGGTCTAGCTTGCCTTGCTCCCGATATAGAATTCCGAGATTGTTGACAGACTCGAGAGTCGACGTATGGTCCGCTTCGAGTGCTTTCTCGAACCCAGCTAGCGCCCGCTGGTGCATCTGCTCCGCCTGGTCTAGCTTGCCTTGCTCCCGATATAGAATTCCGAGATTGTCGACAGACTCGAGAGTCGACGTATGGTCCGCTCCGAGTGCTTTCTCGCGTCCGGCTAGAGCCCTCTGGTGCATCTGCTCCGCCTGGTCCAGCTTGCCTTGCTCCCGATATAGAATTCCGAGATTGTCGACAGTCTTGAGGGTCGACGTGTGGTCCGCTCCGAGTGCTTTCTCATACCCAGCTAGTGCCCGCTGGTGCATCTGCTCCGCCTGGTCCAGCTTGCCTTGGACCCGATACAGAACCCCGAGATTGTTGACAGTGCCGAGAGTCGACGTATCGTCCGGTCCGAGCGCTTTCTCGTACCCAGCTAGTGCCCGCTGGTGCATCTGTTCCGCCTGGTCCAGCTTGCCTTGGACCCGATACAGAACCCCGAGATTGTCGACAGACTCGAGAGTCGACGTATGGTCCGCTCCGAGTGCTTT